AAAAAGCATCTTATCTCTTTCAATTTCTGGCTCTCCCATCTCATCCCATATTCTCTGATCCAAGAAAAACAAGGTAACACACAAAAAAGAGAACACTTTCACAATACGATATAAGTCTTGTGTTTTGTAATATAACAATTGAAGAGCATATTTGGAGCAAACCTGCATCTCAGACAGAAGAGAACCACAAGTTGTTTCCATATGCAAAGGCTTGTCACTTTGGCGGTTATGCATGTTGAAGCATTTACACCTTGACAAAGAATTTTAAAAGGTTAAGACAGAGAAAGAGAATCAGATGGTAAAAAGGAATAGTTATAAGACCAGTTAGAGGCAATCCAAACGCTGAATTTAGATGAGCTACATAGTAAAATCCCAGCAAAATTGGGAACAAAATGCTGAAGTATTTTCTGATTTAGCACCCTCCAACCTTAAAATGAAAACAAGTATCACTACTCCTAACAACTAAAGTAGAGATGATCTTGGAGCATCTCTTGAACAGAATCTTCTCAAACAATTATTTGATATTTACTTTGTTAGGGAATAGAAGCATATATTAAATCTAAATTTTATCTATACAATCAATCAACTATACCTCAATCTTAAATTTTATAAATTGTTATCTCTACGGGATTTTAAGACCATCTATTATTATTACAATCATAATTTTTGATAAGTAAACCAACTAATATATTACTTATTAACCGTTCACGAAACACCAAGCCCTAAAGTAAGAAGAATTAGTGGGTGCATTTGTTCGTGCAATTTTGTGAATTTCGTTTCTAAATAAAGGTTTTCAACTTGCATATTGTGTTTGTTTGCGAAATTGGGAACAAAAACTTTTCTGGTGTGTCTCAAGTTTCCAGTTAAATGTCCCAAGAATTCTAGTTAAATGTACAAAAATAACAAAGTAATAATCAGCTAATAGAGCGGAAGTCTCTATTAATGTAATATTGCGATCATTTGTTGAGGTTCCCATTAGGTTGTTCTAGAGATACTGAATTATAGATATAAAGAAATACAAGAAATCAAAACATTCAGTTTTCTCGGCAAGAAAGGCATCAAAAACAGAGTACCAATTTCACTACAAAGAACCACAACGAAAGAAACCTTGCTAAAGTCTTTATCACCCGTAATGAACAGAAAACTCCACCGTACAATGACGTAAGAATCCGACGGAGGGTTCTTTATTTTTCCGGCCAATTCTCTGCTTTCCTCAGTTTGGTGAAAATGGAAGAGAAACCAAGTGATGATATGATAATTTGGGAAAAGGGGGGAGTAGAATTGAATTCTTGAATTTTGATTTTTGAGTGGGAGAAGGAGGGAAAGGAGGAGACGTTAGCTTTTGTAAAGCAAAACGTATGTGCTGAGAGAGCGCCTTTTTTGGCGTTGTGATCTTTATTCATTAAATGCCGACTTTGTTTTTTTGAATTTCAAAGTTGATTCCCATTTAATCCTTTATTCTATTTCTTCTTTCTTTAATCCTTTCTTTTATTTCTCGGCCGTAAATTGTTAGTTCTCCACTTTTATTTTTCCATTCCTATTAAGAATAAATAAATAAAATATATATCCATAATAATAATAGTATTTTCAAAAGTATTGAAAAATAGTTTGGAAAATAAATAGTTAATGATAAGAATAAAACAGAAAAAAAAAGATTGTATTTCTTTTGATTTAGTATAGGGAACAAGTAAAAGTAAAAATATATTTTTGGTATAATGGACAAGTAAAAGTGAACGGGGTATTTCTCACTTGTCCCATTTTGGTACAATCAAATGCTAATGTCACTGAATAAGTTGGTCAATTCATAGGTGAGGAGTACGTCTGTTTTTTCTTTTTT